AGTACGCTACATGAAAAGGGATGCTCCACCCGATGTGCCAGGTCCACAGCGACAATTATGACCTCCTCGCTTGGATGGGTTTTCAGGTTTTGTAAAGGGGTAGACAGGGTACAGGGTGTTTTTGGAACTGTCCGGCGGTTCGGTTTTTGCCGCTGCGGTTCGGGAACGGTTCGGTTCTTGCACGGTTCGGTTCCTACGGTTCCGGTTTCCCGGTTCACGGATCGGTTCCAACTATCGCAGATTCACCATGACCGCTGGTGCCGAAACACACGTGTGACGGTCACGACATGTGCAGTCTCGGCTTCGCTTCAGCCGTTCATCGAGTCTCACCCCGGCTGCCGGTACCCAAAGGATAGGCAGGCAGGCGCAGGCAGGAAGTTGGCGGGAAGCTCGCAGTGTCAGCGTGTTCGCCAGTTCTGGGTGTTTCTGAGCCCAGCACAAGTTACGGAGGATCAGCAGACGCTACAGGCTCTTTGAAGCCTTCAAAGGCTCCTTCCAGGCCCTGTGCTCCTGTACGGGAAGTATTCTGTGCAGAACGCTGAAGGCGTGCCCTTCTCCTAGCTGCTGGAAACGGTCTCGGCCTTTCCTTCGGGTCAATGCTCCCTGCCTCTAAGCCGTTAAGCTGGCCCGAATTTCCCATGACTTCGCAATGGAAAGAATAGCAACATGGTCCAGCAATGCAGCCAACCAAGGCACGGCGCAGTAAACATGACAGTGCTGCGCTTGGTGGTGTAAATCACGTGCACTCCGACTGTGGTCTCACATGAGCTTAAGTTTTTTGCCAGTGCATCTTCAGGGAATGATCTGGGAGGGGATGGGCTTTGTGGGTGCTTGTGAGTCCCAGCTGCGCCAGACAAAAGACAAATGGATGAAAGAACTGAGTCACCGAACGTGCCAGGCGCTCGCGATTCCTACTGTTGTTCCCAGATCCTTGCGTGTCCCAACCTTACAGACGCTTCCACCTTTCCAGACTCGCTTTCGCCGTTCAGTTAATCTAGCTTCTGAATCTGGAACGGTTTATTCATGAGGGCTGCAATCCTGTTGATAGAGGTTCGTAAGACTCATTCAAAGATGGGGGTACAAGACTGGACAAGAAACCCCCTTTAAAGACAGGACACATCACATGACTGGTTAACCTGGCCGATGAACATGACAGCTTCGTTCCAAGATGAAGAGGTGGTTAGTAGTTAGGCACCTTGTTCGGTCGCAAAGAGCTGTCAACACACTTGCAGGCATCGTTACCTGACGAAGCCTCCCATCATGTCCGTTTGAAACATGCAGCTGACCAGGGCAACTGCACAAAAAGAGAATGATGCGCGCTGCGGCGTGCGAAGGGTGGGAAACATGGCCGAACATGGCCAAACTTAACGATTCGAAGAGTTGAGCCGTGCTGCTTTTGTGGACGGATTTGACTGCGCTGCCTGGTCCCGCAGGCTGCCCTCCGGGCCAGCTTTTGCAGCGTAATGCCTTAGGGCCTAGGGCTCTCATGGCACGTGCAAAGAGCACGCGTGAGGCTGGTGGACCTGGGAGCGCGGTAAAAGAACAGATTCATGAGATCCAGCTCCTGGCCATCAGCTGCAGAGAGCAGCGAGTCGCGCGGTCCTGAGCTGAACCAATATGCTCTCGCCCAGCAATCGAAAAAAGAAGCCTTGCTGGGCACAGTCTGGGAAAACCTTCGTGGTTGATGAGTAGCTTGCAAGGACCTCAGGAATGCGAGATTCAACTTAATGGCTCAGCCATGCAAAAATTGTGAGGACAAAGGGAAACAGGGTTGGGGGAATGGCCCGCGTAGCGTGCCCAGAGAAGCTGACGGAAAGCAGGGATGCAAGACAAAGGGGTTGGCAGTCAGTCAGGGTCTGGGGTGGCATGGCTCTCTAGGCCCCGGTAACACAGCCCGCTTCGACCAGCCCCCAAAGGAGATCCCGGTCGTCTGAGGCTGTTTGACCAAGTTCGCCCAAGCAACAGCATTCCTTTTTGGATTTTTTCGAAGCCCCGTGTCCCAAGGGTTTCTTGGTGGCGGTTTCAATGGAAGGCTCAAGGTTTCTGCAAGTCTGAATACCACTATCACGATTCCACTATTCAGTGCTATTGACACTTAGCGCCAATTGCATTCTTACTTGTCCAATTGTTCTGATAGTGTGGAACACATTGACGCACTCCTGATGCTCACTGCAGAGTCATACCACCTATTCTCCGAACAGCCCTAAATGACATCCGCCTAGGCTATCAATTCCGAAAATGGTCCATATGGAGCGCATGAGGCATATAGGGCCTAGGGGGGTCCACAAGAAAGGGTCCATGGGTTGGTTCCAAGTCCTGCAAAACGGCAGGTGAGGTGAGGGAGTTGAGGGGACCATGCACCCTTACCAGGGCACTGCACCAAAACCAGTGTCCTTGCCATGTCTGCACAGGGGTGGGTTGCTCTTTTACCCCGAACGCCTGAACATGATTGGGGCTTTCGTGGGAGGAATGTGTGGGTGAGACCTTGGGGATTTCAAGGTTGACGTTGAGTTTGTATGATTCAGTTGAGGGAGACCCGGGCCGAATGGTTTCTTACACGGGAGGGCGTGATGCCTATAAATACTATTCACTCAAGATGCATCTCCTTCGGGCCTTTGGGCTGACAGATACAACTTTTAATTCCCCCTACTCACTTGCAGGGCACTGTTCCCACGACACAGGATCACCTGGCAGAACTGCCCGGCTCTCAGGCCTCAACAGTCTCAAAACATCTCCATGTGGGCACTTCCCAAAATAGAGGGGTACCCCTTTGAGACCCCAAATAGAAAAGAACCCCCCTAAGAGGACTCCCAAAAAGGGAGGAACACCCCCCCCCCCCCATGTGTCCCCAAGGGGCCCAAAGGCCCCAAGGGGCCCCAAGGGTCAGACCAAAAGCCTCCGAGATCGAGAGATGCAGCTGCAACCGCTGTTATGGTTGGTGCGATAATTGGTGCAATAAGGATAAGTGTTGTAAGTGTTGCAGTAGTTTTGGTGTTGGTGTTGTGATGGTGGTAGGGTTGGTGCTGGTGCTGGCGCTGGCGCTGGCGCTGGCGCTGCTGCTGGCGCTGCTGCTGGCGCCGCTGCTGCCGCTGCTGCTGCTGCTGCTGCTGCCGCCGCGGCTGCTGCTGCTGCTGCTGCTGCTGCTGCTGCTGCTGCTGCTGCTGCTGCTGCTGCTGCTGCTGCTGCTGCTGCTGCTGCTGCTGCTGCTGCTGGTGCTGGTGCTGCTGCTGCTGCTGCTGCTGCTGCTGCTGGTGCTGGTGCTGGTGCTGCTGCTGCTGCTGCTGCTGCTGCTGCTGCTGCTGCTGCTGCTGCTGCTGCTGCTGCTGCTGCTGCTGCTGCTGCTGCTGCTGCTGCTGCTGCTGCTGCTGCTGCTGCTGCTGCTGCTGCACCACTGCAAGTGCTTGCCAATCTACGCACCATTGCGCAAACACTATAGAAGCTGGCCCTGCATCCTGGCACGCGGCCACGGCTCAATGCGCTGTGGCTAGCAGATTGTCTCCTAGCTCCATCCGCATTGGCTAAAGCTTCATCCCGAAACCCGAAGATAGCCATCAACTGCACCGTCAGAGGTTCGCAACTACGCCGGTGCCCACACTCGAGAAAACAGTGCTGCAAGCCCTGGACGAAGAGGAGTGCAATTCTGCAACTGTTGCATGTGTGCATACAAGAATGGGGTCACGCCCGATTCCTGACTGCTTGTCGATTCCGTTCTGCAGGGGTTTTACTGGCTTGTTGGCGTGGAACAACAAACGTCTAGACTACAAAGCTAGCGTGCCTGCAGAAGGCATGTGATGACAGTTGTGGTCTTTCCGTTTTGTTTTTCCCAAGTCGTGTTTCAAGTCTGCCGCTGCACGCTGGGCCATTCTCGGTGATGTGGTTCTCAGGGCATCGGAACATCTTGGCGCGACCCGACATCCAAAAACCTCAAAGCCACAAGAGCGCGCAAAGCCTGTAATTAATTAGGGCAGGCGGTTTTGACGATTGGGAAAGCTATGCTCAGAAGTTGGTTTGCGGGCTGGATTCCGAAACTAGGTTCGCAACATTGCGAGATGTCCTGGCAGACTGCATACGACCAGCTTTCGGCTGCATCTCCCAATGCAGGATAAGTGCAGGATAAGATTTCGCTGATCTTTTTGAAATGCTTGGTTCGTCACTCCGATCGCGGAGGCTAATCAGTAAACCCAGAGAAAACTTTTCAGCATTTTTGGTGGATTGTTCATTTACCGTCAACATTCTGCCAAATTTGCAGGAGCGCATCCACCCCAGTCCGACGCCCATCGAGTGAGCTGGAGGGGGATTGTGCAGATTGTTTCAGTTGCGGTTTGGGTTTAGGGTTTAGGGTTTAGGGTTTAGGGCTTACCTAGGGTTTAGGGTTTAGGGCTTAGGGTTCAGGACTTTGCAACCTGGGCTGCAGGGTTGAAGGGTTGATAGGTGGAAACATGCTCATAACTTTCGGGTTGCTGGGGCTCAAACAACTGCGCAGCACCCCTCAACCCGCTCGCGCATGTCCATCCCCAAAGCATGGCCCACACCAAACTCAAAGCGAGTCCCGGACCTCACTGGTGTCCCATCCCGTGCAGGCCCAACTCGAGGCGCCCGTGCGCGCTTCCTTCTCCGGCTGGAGCAGCCCGACGGCGGATGCTAAGTTCAGAGGGCGTTGAAGGCAAAGTGGGATTTCAGGGTTTCAGTTGCCACGCACGACCACTTCTGACTTGCGCATGCATTGGTGAATGTCGGAAATAAAGACCCGCTTGATCCGCTGCCTTCTCTCGCAGTAGCACAAGCAGGGCTCGCGGCTTACGAGGCACATCGTACATGCCAAGAAGTTTCTTTGACGAGGGCCTTCTTGAGATTCATGAACTCAATCTGGGCTGCTGCAACGGTGTTGCAAAAAGAGTTACATAAGACCGTTAAGACTCAGGGCCGGGACAGCAACTTCGTGGAAGTACGTGAGATATCGTGAGGGGGTTCATTCACCCTAGCGACTGGAAGGGTGTGCAATGGCTCATCGCCAGAGGACCCTCCTGGCAAGCCTTTGTGCGGGCTTGGTCCTGGCCCTGGCAGCCTGCGACTTCTCGCACTACTCTGACTACTCGCTTTGGGCTGAGGGCGCAAAGGTCCCGGACAAGGCTCACCACAAAAGCAGGTCGGGAGGTGACCATGAGGACCCCAAGTTCGTGTCCTATGTGAAACGTGGGTGTCGGCAGCTGGAGCGGGTTTCGAAGCTCCTGTGCGGCGTGTGCATTCTCGCCTGCATGAAAGCGTGCAGCGGACTGGTGGCAACCACTTCTGCCGCGACTTGGTCACCGGGGCTGTTGGCCATCCTGGCATATTTTGTTTGCCAGTTCGTGGGACCCCCTGGCATCGTTGCTGCCATTGTCTTCTTCGGGGCCAAGGCGAAGGCTGCCAGCGTTGGTGCAATCGCAGCAAAGGTGGCAGCAGCAAACTTAGCAGCCGTGGGCGCACTCGGCTGCGGGCTTCTTTCGATCCTTTTCGAAATGGCTGCAAGTTAGAGTCAAGGCATTGCTTGCAGCTATAGTGCAGACGCGTGGTAGGCGGTACCCTTCTCTGCATCGGTCTGAAGCCGCAAACGGTATATTGTATTATAGTATGGTATGGTACAGTATGGTACAGTATGGTACAGTATGGTATGGTACTCAGCTGAAAAGCACCGCAGATAGAGAAGACTCTTGCTGGTACCTTTGTGAGCTTGCAAGGCCATCAAAAAAAGTCTCAGACCGCTGCACGAGGATACCTGCCATATAGCCCTTCTAGCCTTTAGCAGAGTGCGAAAAGGAACCTGAGAAACAGAGCAAGCTTCCCCAATTGGCGCTTTTAGATGTCTTTAGCTGGGCCGGGATGCTTTAGTTGAAGACATGAAGCGGCGAATTGCCACCCGAAGCTACGACGACGCGCGAAGCCGCGAATTTCCGCCTCAAGCCGCGGCGCGGATTGCCGCCGCGGATTGCTTCCGGGAGGAGGTTCGAGGCAGGATCGGTTGTTTCTGTTTATAGGGTCCAACACGGCACGAAACCAAGAAATCCAAGAGCCAGTTCTCTGAGTTCCCTCTGAGTTCCCTAAGTTCCCTGAGTTCCCTGAGGTCCCTAAAGCCCGCAGTCAAGCCCCATGTGAGAAAATGGAGCAGTTTGTTCTCTCTTTTTTTTGTTGGGGGGGGGGGGGGGGGGGGGGGGGGGGGGGGTTGGAGGGTGGGGGTATTTGTGCATCTCAGAGGGAACCCTAAATGATATTAAATATAGCAGGAAAATGGAGTTACAGGGCAATTCACGACGTCAACGGCGTCAACGAAAAACACGGCGTAGGGGGCGTCATGCATTTGAAGCCGTGGTGTCAACAACGTCACCTTCCGCTTGCGACCTTATACGGAGTCAGCAGAATCATGGCGTCAGACAGACCCGCGGCGTCAACGGCATCAAGCTTTGCCAGGAACTTGCTAGAGACACTGTTGTTTTTGCGAAGCAAATTCAGCGGCCGGACCGCTGTCGCGGCTTATCATGCGCGCATATATATATATATATATATATATATATATGCATTGAATGTGTGATCCTCACAATCGTAATGATTCTGAGATTCACAGTATTCCGTATTCTCGTGATAGCTGGCATCGCCGCAACAATAACAGGAAAGGTGTCTGGTGCAAAGTAGCCGCCCCAATTGTCAGGGGTCAAACTTCACAAACCCCTCAATCCGAAACCCCAGTTGACCCTAAAGCATCCTAGACCTCTGAAGCTGCTGTTAACCTCCAAGCCTTCAATAAACTCACCCTAAACCCTGAACCCTAAACCCTCAACCCCAAACCCTAAACCCCAACCCCAAACCTTAAACCCTAAACCCATCCTCAGCCCCAACCGAAATCCGAGGCTGCGCCGAGGTCAGTCCCAGGCGCTGGGCACTGCACTCGGCCCGAGTCTCAGGCTTGGGAGCTGTTGGCGTCGGGGAACTAGTGTGCTTCTTTGAGGTGTTGGTTTCAGTTGGTTTCAGGCTCGTGGCTGTGGTTCTGTGGTGCCCTACTGCAGCACCTCTGCTCCGGTGGTACTCTTCTTGCCTCTGCTCCTGGAATCCTGGTCCTCGGCCCATGCACGTTTGGGCGCAATGCTCGAAGCCGTGAACGCATGGCAAGGGCTGTGCTTCCTGCCTCGTGGGCTTTTGGATTCGCTCCACGTGTCCGTAAGGCATCTGCCATTCACGTCCGAACCAAAAACAAGCACGAAGCAGCGCAGTAACAGATAGTGACCCTAAACCCTAAATAAACTCTAAACCCTAAAACCTAAACCCTAAACTGCAGCAGCGGATGCTACTCTTGCCCGACCTGAAAGCTGTTGTTGCTCAGCATCCCACGTGCTACCGCTCTCCTGCACTGCACTCCAGTACCTGGAAGATGTCACATGCCCCACTTCACTTTCAGTCAAACTTGTGCGAACAGGTTGGCAATCAGCAGCTCAACAAAATCACAGTCCGACAAGTGCTGCAAGTCCTCAACATAATCCCGCCCGAAAGGCAACTTCCTGAACGCGGTCGGGCCCATCGGCGTCTCGGACCAGAAGCTCCCTGGCTTAGGGTTTAGGGTTTTGGGTTTTGGGTTTTAGGGTGTAGGGTTTAGGTTTCGGGTTTAGGGTTTAGGGTTTAGGGTTCATGGTTTGCCATTTAAACTCGGCCCAGTATCAGTTCCAGAGCCCATTCCGCGAGCCGGTCGCTTGATGTCACTTCACCTTGTCTATACATCTTGCGCAATTCGGGGTGATGAATCTGAAACATGTTGCAGCAAGGCTGGTTTCCGCAGTCCTGCAGTCCGATGCTCTTCCGACGAGCTTTGCCGAGGAGGCTCTGAAGCAGTGCGTGCCTGTTGGCATGCAGATTCTGGCAGAAAACCCTAAACCCTAAACCCGAAAAGAATTCAAGCGCTCCAATGCCAAGAGATGCAGATGTGGAGAGAAGGAGTGGGCCGGAGGGCATCAGACAAACCGGTCAAGTGCGAGGTCAAGGCCGCGGCGGCAGCAACTGAGCTACGCCAGGCCGACCTGACAGTTCGGTTGAATTTGCATTGTTGTGGTTGCTGCCACCTCGCCCAGCAGCGTTGGGCAGAGATCAAGACATGGCTAGCCACTAAGGCATCCTTGCAATATGATGTCATCGCATTGCCGGTGATGCACTGGAATGAGATGGCTGAGTTTGACGTAGAGGGATTCAGGTGTATCTCCTCCGTTCACAAGGGAAGGGACAGAGCTCCGAAATCCAAAGCGGAGGCTGGGCGCACGACCCAAAGCCAATTCGAAAGCGTCGATACAAGCGACGGAAGGATCGTCGGTCGGCTGGGGTTGTGATTCTGCTGTCTGTCTCGGACGTACGCAATGGAAGCGACTGACTGGTGGTACCGGATCCGGATGAGGTCAATGCCCATGGCGATCCGGAAGAAGTTCCCTAGCGGCGTCCTGCAAAGCCCCCCCCTAATCTTGCCTGCCCCCTTCACTTTGAACCTAAGAGTCTACAGCAACTCGTACAGAGGCTAGTACCCCACAAAGCACTGCCCTCACGGGGCAGCAAAAGTATGCCATCCTGCTTGAAAGTGACTAAAAACCGGTACTGCTGGAGTCCCCTTGTCCGCGCTCGCCTCCGGCGCGGCCGCCCATGCGACCCCGTGGAGAAACGGAGGTGTCATCGACTGGATTAGGTTCACCTGTCCCCCTCCGAGCTCAAGCGAAAATATCGTCCTTACAATAAGATTAGTTCTTCCTCCCCTCCCCAATCCATCCTGCCCCTCGCTCTTCTTTTTCACATTGGCACCTCAAGAAATTTAGATCGTTCCCCTGGCCAGTCTGCCGCGGCCCTGCTCGGCGTCATGCAGCCTCGTTTCCGGCGCCAGTGGCAGGTCTGGGATGGTGTGGGGCCGAGGGTCCTATGTAATGGGGCCGAGGATGTCGTATAGTGTAAGGCATCAGGACATAGCATCCTGGCATCTGTTGATGGACACAATGTGCAGAGCTTCGTTTCCAGACTCCTGCTGTTGTCGCAGTCGTCGCCAGGTGTCGGCAGCGCAGCGACTGCTCGCCGATGCACGTTCTCTGACTGCCACATATCAGTCGTTACACGAGCCCTTTCTGCCAAGAATTGAGATGACGTAGCGATGGCCTGATGGTTCCCATGTTGATAGCCGTAGGAAGATTGATAAGCAGCTTGAAGATTGAGAACTGGAAGGTCTGAGTTCGAGGTTTGCATCAGAAATGTGAGATGGTAGCTGCGCGCGGTCATATCAGACTGGTTCTCAGGGCCACCATGGACATGATCATCGTTGTCATGGTCTTCCATGTTTTCATACGCCGTACTCACAATCGTCGCCGTCATCTTCGTCGTCGTTGTCATCATCGGCCTGTTGAATGAGTATCATCAGTACCAACAACTTCACCCAACATATCCTCAATCATGACAGAAACTTCAAACTGGAGCGAAGAACATTTAAGCACTGAAGAAGGTCAGCGCGTGCAAGGACTGCAGCTAGCTATGTAGCTAGAAAAGGCGCAAGTGCCAGAAGCCCTGCACCCGTTACCACAAACCCAGCCCGAAAACTCTGGAGGCCCCACTAACCTTCACTTCACCCTAAACCCTAAACCCCTAAACCCGAACCCTAAACCCTAACCCTAAACCCTAAACTTCAGGCGAGGATGGCGAGGTGCCCGAAAGGCTGCTGGAGCTGTGCGCTGGTGGCCTGAGCTCATGACCTCGCAGTGGGAGGAGCTGCAGGACCATCGTCGGGCCATCCACGCTGGCGTCTATGATGTAGGAGTTTAGGGTTTAGGGTTTTAGGGTTTAGGGTTTAGGGGAATACTAGGAATATGTAGGACAGGATTTGGGACTGGCACTGTTTCACTTTGGTGTAGGCTGAGGCTGCGGCAGCTGTTCGCACGGGGGCACATTCCTCAGTCTGATTTCTTCCGTCCCAGACATGATGCCTTCTGAGAAGACGAAGGTAGATTATCGGTTAAGTGCACAACGCAGTTCTCAACCCCCGGGCTGTAGCGGCGGCGAAGGTTCTCAAAGGCAAGATACTGCCTGCCACATAGTGAGCTACTCACAAGAAGTCGAGCAGTGAAGCGAAATTGGCAGATGTGAGAATGCAAAACCCAATGAGGACTTGCGGGCCCACTCATCAGCATCCCAAGCCAAAAGACCCAACATGCCCTTAGAATGGCCTTACCAAATCCTTCTGAAGTCCTGCTCAGGACTTCGTGACCCGTGTGACGGATGGCTGCAGCGCCTCGAGGTCTCGAGGCGCATAACTTGTAGCTGCATTAGGGTTTAGGGTTTAGGGTTTAGGGTTTAGGGTTTAGGGTTGCCTATTTCTTGCAGCAAAACCCGCTCAGGCAGCAGCCCGCTCAGTAAAACAAAATGGTCCAAGCTTTCTCTGAGGGGACCGGCTTCAGAGGATGCATCTGTCTCCATCCAGGTCCGCAGAGGGTTCCGGAGTCCAAGCCCTGTTACGTGCGCATGTCTCAAACTC